CAGCTGTTTGAAGGTGATGCTGAGAACAAATGCTCCTCTGTGAGGTATACAACAGTGAGCTTGTGGAAAGTATGTCATCTTTGACTACTTATCTCCATTTTGCAGCTGTGCAGTCAGAGACCCTTGTGCATGACGACAGATTTGTTCTATGGCCTCAGAGTTGGGTGCCGGGGACGATGGCGGCTGCACTGAGCTGGCAAAGCCCCTCTATCTTCAGTACCTGGAGAGGGCCCTCCGGTTGGACCACTTCCTGCGACAAACATCAGCTGTCTTCAACAGGAATATTTCTAGGTATGCTGTTCTGTCTTCCCAATATAATGTCTAACCAGATTTCTGATTCTCATTATCCCTGTAGATTTTAGAGTTAAAAGTATTTTACAGTTTTTGGTACATCTGATTTTTTTTTTCTTCTTTCAAAACTTTCAAATATAACACACTCAACTTACTCAAAAGATCGATTTCTCTGTAGTTCAGTCTACTAACCATAAATTGTAATGTTTTGCTGGGTCAGCTGTGATTGTAGATTCACCATTCTTCAATTTATAGTGATGAAAGCGAAGATGGATTGGATGACAGTAATCCTTTATTGCCCCAGTCTGGGGATCCCTTAATACAAGTTAAACAAGAAACTCCAAATTCATTGCTTGGTGAAACTTCCAGAGCAAGTAATTCTGGAATGTTGAACGCATACTCGCTAAATGGAGTCCTACAATCAGGTCAGTGATGTTGGAGATCCCTTTTTGGACTGTCAGTTCTCTTAGAGCAGTTGTCATTTCATTTTTTTTTTTTTAATTCTTTGTTTCTTTGCACAGAATCAAAGTGTGACAAAGGGAATTTATACAACTTCTCTAAATTGAAGAAAAGCAGAAGGTGGTTGAAGGTAAGGCAAAATGTTTTACAGTTCAAATAGCCTACTAAATTTATAAAATAAGAGGGAAGTTACTGACTCATCCTGGCACATTGGTGTATATTTCTAGACCTGAATCTTTTATTCTAGGTATGGCTTTTAGAAGAGATTATAGAGGAGAATCTAGAGGACCCAATGAAGTTCATTTTAGGAGCATTTTAAGTGTAAAGCACTGTGCAGAGTGAGGGAGTATAAAAATGTATCAGATAAGGCCCTTGTTCTCACTGGCTCACATTGTACTGAGGATTATTATGCTTTTCATCAGTCACTGATGAGTTCATTCATTAGGTTTAATTGGTATCCTTTTGGTTTTCAGTTGAATTGGTAAAGAATAGTATAAAGAAACTGGAAAGACTGTCCTCCAGCTGTTTTTGTCATTGTTTACAATTGCATTATGAAAGGAATTGCTTCATAGCAGAGGTTCCATTTGCATTTCCTCCCTTTTTTTTCAGAGCATTCTGCTAAGTGATGAGTCCAGTGAGGCAGATTCTCAGAGTGAAGACAATGAAGAAGAAGAAGGAGAAGAGGAAGAAGAAGAAGAAGACGACGAAGAAGCAGAAGCAGAAGAAGAAGAAGGAGGAGGAGGAGGAGAAGAACTCAATCTCAGCAGAGAAGAACTTCATAACATGTTGCGGCTACACAAATATAAGAAACTTCACCAGAATAAGTATAGTAAAGACAAAGAGGTAAGAGTTTAAAGGGAAATCTCAGAACTTCACACTGGGTATTTACCTTTTGGTTTATATTCATTGAAGATATATCATTTTAATTGTATATTTAGATGGTTATAGTGGTTGTTTTAATACTAGCTTTATTGAACTACATTTCACATGCCAAAAAAGTTCAGCCTTTTAAAGTGGATGGTCAGTGTTTTTAGTATATTCATGGAGTTGTATAACTGTCATCACTATCTAATTCCAGAACACTTTCTCATCCTAAAAAGAATTCCCATTCCCCTTAGCTGTTGCCCTCATTCCCTCCATTCCCCTCAGTCTCATGCAGCTAGCCACTAGACCACCATTTGTCTCTTTAAATGTGCCTGTGTTAGATAGTTCACACAAATGGAACAACATGTTGTCTTCTGTGTCTGGTTTCTCTCACTTAGCATGTTTTCATTCACGACAGTATGCATCAGTACTGTTGCTTTTTATTGCCAAATAATAGTCCATTGTGTAGATATACTACATTTTATTTATCCATGCATAAGTTGATGAACTAGATGGATTGTTTCTACTTTTTGGTTATTATGAATAATGCTGCCATGAAGATGTGTGTACAAGTTTTTGGTGCAGAGTAAAGTTTTCATTTCTCTTGGGTATATACCTAGAATAGGAATCGTTGGGTCATTTGGTGGCACCATGCTTACCCTTTTGAGAAACTGCCAGGTTGTTTTCTAGAATAGCTGTACCATTCTAAATCCCGTCGGTTGCTTTTCAGTACAGTTGCCCCTTCAAGTGTTCCTATATTGGGAAAACACCCTTTCTCCACATACTAACATTAGATTAATGATAGTTTTAAGTGGCTATTTGAATGCTGTTACCAAAGACTTCTATTTATGGTACTTTGTACATAATGAGCAATAGCATATTTGAAGACCTAAAACCCCAGCAATTAGTTAAAGTCCAAAGTTAGTTCAGAAAGCTTTGAATACTATTCTAAAGGATATAAACCTGCAGAAGTGATAAATAGTAAGATATTTGACTGTTGTAATGTAGGCAAAGCGTTCTTTTAAGTACAGTGCTAAGGCTCTTGGTGCTCTAAATATTTAGTGTTTTGTTAATTGAAGTAAAATATACCCAAGAGAATATCCACAGATTTGAAGTATATAGCTCAGTGAGTGCTCATTTAATTCTGACCTTTCACAGAGGATCTTGTATAGTTCTCCATGTCACTCTTCTATCCTAATTTCAGTTTTTGGACAACTCACCTGGCTGTAATCTAGGAAAAAGATTCAACAGGGACTGCCTAATTTTAACTTATATTCATATTTATCCATTAGTAATAAGTGAGACAAATTAATGTGAGTTTTGTGGGTCAATTTAAATGAAATATTTGAAAGGATTAACTATTCCATGGACAGAAAAAAGTCAGTCATTCATGTAGAATCTGGCAACATAGGCACTATCCATAATATTATCAGACTCTTTCATTTGAAAGGATTAACTATTCCATGGACAGAAAAAAGT